GACTATTCTATGTTGCATCCTTTGTAGGGATTTTGTGTACAGGTCCTTCTCAAAAAATTAGCATATTGTGATAAACCACCAAATGGTTCCCGAGCGCGGCTGTCTGCAGCTCGCCGCTCCCCTAGGGGATGGGTCAAATGCGGAGAACAAATTTCGCACACACACCTGTGTGTGTGACAACTAATGGGACTTTAACTTTAAAGTTCATTATTTTCTGTAATCTGCTGATAAACATTAGACTTTCATATATATTAGATTCATTACACACAACCGAAGTAGTTCAAGCCTTTTATTGTTTCTAATATTGATGATTTTGGCGTACAGCAGGAGAGTTGGCAGGCCAATTGAGCACAGTAATACCATGGTCAGTAAACCCTTTAGCAGTGGTGTTGGCACTGTGAGCAGGCGCCAGGTCGTGCTGAAAAATGAAATCTTCATCTCCATAAAGCTTTTCAGCAGATGGAAGCATGAAGTGCTCCAAAATCTCCTGATAGCTAGCTGCATTGACCCTGCCCTTGATAAAACACAGTGGACCAACACCAGCAGCTGACATGGCACCCCAGACCATCACTGACTGTGGGTACTTGACACTGGACTTCAGGCATGTTGGCATTTCCCTCTGCCCAGTCTTCCTCCAGACTCTGGCATCTTGATTTCTGAATGACGTGCAAAATTTGCTTTCATCTGAAAAAAGTACTTTGGACCACTGAGCAACAGTCCAGTGCTGCTTCTCTGTAGTCCAGGTCAGGCGCTTCTGCCGCTGTTTCTGGTTCAAAAGTGGCTTGACCTGGGGAATGCGGCACTTGTAGCCCATTTCCTGCACACGGCTGTACACGGTGGCTCTGGATGTTTCTACTCCAGACTCAGTCCACTGCTTCCGCAGGTCCCCCAAGGTCTGGAATCGGTCCTTCTCCACAATCTTCCTCAGGGTCCGGTCACCTCTTCTGGTTGTGCAGCACTTTCTGCCACACTTTTTCCTTCCCACAGACGTCCCACTGAGGTGCCTTGATACAGCACTCTGGGAACAGCCTATTAGTTCAGAAATTTCTTTCTGAGTCTTACCCTCTTGCTTGAGGGTGTCAATGATGGCCTTCTGGACAGCAGTCAGGTCGGCAGTCTTACCCATGGTTGCTGTTTTGAGTAATGAACCAGGCTGGGAGTTTTTAAAAGCCTCAGGAATCTTTTGCAGGTGTTTAGAGTTAATTAGTTGATTCAGATGATTAGGTTAATAGCTCGTTTAGAGAAACTTTTCATGATATGCTAATTTTTTGAGATAGGAATTTTGGGTTTTCATGAGCTGGATGCCAACAGTATATACAGTACTGTAAAAAAAGAACAATTTACAGTTACATTTTCCAACAGAATGGCTAGAATAACTACTGGGGATGAACACCAACGCCTGTTCACCTAACAGCAGGAACTTGTCATTGTGAACCTAGTCAGAGCAAACAATGCAATCTGTCTCCACCAGCCACTGCAACAAATACCTGAAGATTTAAGAGGGGTACAATTGAAGAGGGGTATTAAACTTAAAAAACAGAGTTCGTACAACAAAGAGGAGTATGTGTACAACAATATGTGGGTGGGTGGATTTATGGAACAATTTGAGTGACGATTTGAAAAAATGTGTAAAGATAAATCAATTTAAGAAGAGTGACAAAAATATCTATTGAATAATTATATTGATGAGCTGGGTTAAATGGATAGGGTAGGAATGTACGAGTTTGACTTCTAACCACTCCTTTTCTGTCTTTATTAGTTGATTGCTTTTGTGTTGAGTTGTGTTGTGTTGTATTATGTTTTTATGTTAGTTCGGAATAAAGTATAAATCAATCAATCAATGAAAGATAGGCAGGTGTTCAACAACATAAATCGAGTAAGCATTACCACTATCAGATGCATCTTGGTAAAACACAACATAAATATGAAGCAACTGTACAGGGTCCTATTTGAGAGGAAGTGTCAGGGTCGAAGAACTTCAGCATAAATGGATATGGTTAAAATCTGTTATTAGCCCAGATCTGGACAAGTGGGGGAGTAGAGGGAGGTGGAGTGTACAGTCGGTAAAGACGGCTCTCCCTTGCCCTGACTCCAACATGCCTCCATCTAAATAGAATAGATTATCCAGAGTTATCTCTGTAGTTATGCTGCTATAGGCTTAGACTGCTGGAGGATACACTGACCACTTTCCACACTCTAGTACTTTCTTCTACAATCTGCTCTTTAACTGTATTACTTTCTCCAATTTCAGCTGTTAACTTTATTTTCTCTCTAAGTGTTTTTCTCCCCAGAAGAAGCTACAACGATGTTCTGCTGAGCTGTGGTGGCCTCATGGAGGGGGCCATCGTCTAGCACACTGCTGCTAACCACTTAAACATTCTCCCTCTCCTGATAATAACTTTTTGCTTTCCTTGACATTGAATGTGCTACTACTAGTTTACCCGTTTAATTATAGATCCACTAGGATAAATACAATAAAGTTTATCTCTCGCTAAACAGAATATTTACTAAGAAATCACAATGTAACCATGGAAACACCACTTGCTATACACTAATCTAAAGGATTATTAGGAACACCATACTAATACGGTGTTTGACCCACTTTGGCCTTCAGAACTGCCTTAATTCTACATGGTGTTGATTCAACAAGGTGCTGAAAGCATCTTTAGAAATGTTGGCCCATGTTGATAGGACAGCATCTTGCAGTTGATGGAGATGTGTGGGATGCACATCCAGGGCACGAAGCTCCCGTTCCACCACATCCCACAGATGCTGTATCGGGTTGAGATCTGGTGACTGTGGGGGCCGTTGTAGTACAGAGAACTCATTGGCATGTTCAAGAAACCAATCTGAAATGATTGGAGGTTTAATACATGGTGCATTATCCTGCTGGAAGTATAGCATCAGAGGATGGGTACATGGTGGTCCTTGACGTGGCATTTAAACAATGCCCAATTGACACTAAGGGGCCTAAAGTGTGCCAAGAACCCCCCCCCCCCCCCCCAATCCTACACCATTGCACCACCACCACCAGCCTGCACAGTGATAACAAGGCATCATGGATCCATGTTCTCATTCTGTTTATGCCAAATTCTGATTCTACCATTTGAATGTCTCATCAGAAATCCAGACTCATCAGAGTCCAACTGTCCAATTTTGGTGAGCTGGTGCAAACTGTAGCGTATTTTTCCTACTTGTAGTGGAGATGAGTGGTACCCGGTGGGGTCTTCTGCTGTTGTAGCCCATCCGCCTCAAGGTTGTGCGTGTTGTGGCTTCACAAATGCTTTGCTGCGTTCCTCGGTTGTAACGAGGGTTAGGCTCTTCTATCAGCTTGGATCAGTCGGCCCGTTCTCCTCTGACCTCTAGCATCAACAAGGCATTTTGGCCCACAGGACTGCTGCATACTGGATGTTTTGCCCTTTTCACACCATTCTTTGTAAACCCTAGAAATGGTTGTGGGTGAAAATCCCAGTAACTGAGCAGATTGTGAACTATTCAGACCGGCCCATCTGGCACCAACAACCATGCCACGCTCAAAATAGCTTAAATCACCTTTGTTTCCCATTCTGACCTTCAGTTTGGAGTTCAGGAGATGGTCTTGACCAGGACCACACCCCTAAATGCATTGAAGCTGCTGCCATGTGATTGGTTGATGAGATAATTGTCTTAAGAAGAAGTTGAACAGGTGTTCCTGATAATCCTGATAATGTTGTGTGTGTGTGTGTGTGTGTGTGTGTGTGTGTGTGTGTGTGTGTGTGTGTGTGTGTGTGTGTGTGTGTGTGTGTGTGTGTGTGTGTGTGTGTGTTGGATGGCTGCTTATACTGAGCCAGGATTCTCTGGAGGTTTCTTCCTGTTAAAAGGGAGGTTTTCTCTCCACTGTCGCTGCATGCTTGCTTAGTATGAGGAGTGCTGTAAAGACTCTGACACTAGTCAGTGACTCGATGCAACCTGCTGGGTTCCTTATATAGGAAACTTTGTACTGATTGGCTCAATGAACTGACCTGTGTTGGAATGTTTACTGTGTGAAGGTCCTTGAGACGACTGGTTGTGATTTGGCGCTTTATAAATAAACTTGAATTGAATCTGTACAGGTGAGAGTCCTTCACATTTACAATACAGAATGGGTGCCGTCCAGTAACAGCTGGATCAGTACCACATAGATATATTCAGAAAGCTACACAGGTGTGGTGGGCAGTTCTGTATGTGTAGTAGTATAGTTGTGTGCTTTGAGTAATGCCATCTACAATATGCTTGTGATGTTGATGAGATCCTGTGGCCAGACCCACAAACGGCAGGATCCATGAGACCACTCGCGCAATTGTTTTATTCTGTGTTTACATTAGTGCATTGTTTGTTTTATTGTTACCTCCCACTGTCCCCATGGTAACCCCACCAGGAAAGTTGACCACTGAGCAGAGTTGACGGTTTATCCCTTGAGGTCCACGTGACAGGAGTGAGCACCACTTCACCTCTGCCATGTGGACCTCAAGGGATAAACCATCAACTCTGCTCAGTGGTCAACTTTCCCGGTGGGGTTACCATGGGGACAGTGGGAGGGTTAAGTAATTGTAATGTATTGTAAAGTACACAACTATAATACACAATGTTTAGTATTTTGTTTTCTGTGTGTTGTGGAAACGTGCCTTCTGTGGAACCGAATAAAACCAGTGGAAACAAAAGCTTGCAGTGTTTTATATAAAGTAGACTAGTGTGTTGCTGCTGATTTGAAAGTTTATTCATATGATGCAGGTGGGTATCATTTGTCTTTAGAGTGCCCTTTCCACAAAGGATTGTTAGGTTTAGATAGCAGAGTTTCAGTTTGACATAGATGTGAACGGTTTATTTCCCACTGTTGTCTTATTTCGTTGTGTGTAGACTTGTTATGATGAGCCAAGTTTTTCAAAACATGTTCAAGCAATGGGCAAAAACTAAGAAGGGATTTCATTTTTCAATAGTAAGGCAATAGTGCAGAGTTTATTAATAACTGTATTATTCCACAGGAGGGCTTTTCTGGCTTCGCCTGTCACAAGTGCAGAAGCCCAAATACTTTTGGGGAAAAGTGTGATAAAGGTAAACTTTCCTTATGGTGTGTGAAGGTTATTTGAATTAAATCAGAGAATATGTTTCCTAGTGTGTGTGTGTGTGTGTGTGTGTGTGTGTGTGTGTGTGTGTGTGTGTGTGTGTGTGTGTGTGTGTGTGTGTGTGTGTAGAGTGTGACTGCATGAATGGAGTGTGTAACCAAGGTCCTGATGGCGATGGAGTGTGTTTGTGCCAGCCACCATTCTCTGGAAAGCGATGTGACCGAGGTAAGACCATTGTGCTTTGCTGTTTTCTTTTCCATCAAGTTTTGAGTTCCTTCTCTAATTTGTAAATTTTGGTTCATTCTTTAAAAACCATTCTAGACAAACCTAAACATGTAGA